TGATAAAAAAAAAAAAAAAAAAAAAAAAAAAAGCCTGGGCATGAAGCTCCTTGCACAACTGGTCCTTATGTCCGCCTTAGTAGTGAGGGATCCCATCAACCCCTATACCCTCTCCCGTTCCACCGGGTGTTGATTTATAACCCATATAATCTGCCAGAGCACATCAGAGTCCTTGAGATGCCTCTGACTCAAATAAGTCACAACATACTTAGTCCTGGTTAGACCCCACCAGGGCTTTAAAAAAAATGAACTGGCTCATGTTTAAACAGCCTCCTAGCTTATGTGCAGATAGTCACTCTTCACTATCGCTCTGTCTAAGAGGGTTCTCTTCTTCCCAGACGGAGAAAACAAAGTTAACTTATCTCTGTCCTTCTATTCGGGTCTTTATGGTACCTCCTTCTCTGTCCTTCTCCCCAGACTGCAGTGCTGAGGCTTCAGGTTACCTGAAGGCTACTTTGTCTTGGCTTCTTCCCCCTCAGCTCTCTCACTATAGCCGATTCCCTGAAGAGCCTTCCTTGCTGCCTCCTGGATGCTCTCAGCCATTCCTGGTCTCACTCTGCTGGAGTCAGGAACTTCCGTTTCCAGTTGTACCGCTCTTGTCTGCTCCGAGTCTCTCTTTATAGCAGAGCTTACATTCCTTCCTCCTCCCCTCCAGAAACACCAGTAGAAGAAGGATCCTTGTGTGGCTATATTTAGCTTCGGCAATGGGACGGCGGCTTACAAGCACTCTTTAAACCCCAGTGTCTTACTCTCTGCCACCGGTATCTCTTCTCTTCTCATCCACATCCCGCCCCTAAAGACGCCGTTAGGCACTTCTTTTCTTACTTAGCTACTCTCTAGGGTACTGTCGTCTCTCAACTCTTCTTCTTTACTTGTCTTATCTCTGCTGTGGGTCTCACATCAGGACAGGAAGTCAGTCATCATATTCAATCTTTCTGGCCTGTACACAATGCAGAACCAAAAAGGTTGAAGTACCAACGCCCATCACATAATGCGGGCATTGTCAGTCTTTGCACTATTCAACCATCTTAATGGAACATGATCAGTTATTAATTTAAACTCCTGGCCCAACAAATAATAACAGAAGTAATCAACCCTCCAATGAATAGTGAGGTACGCGCATTCAACCATGGAATACCATTTTTCACGTTCATTCAACTTTCGACTGCCATAGGTCCACGGGTCGTCCCACACCTTGCACTTCTTGAGATAAGACTGTACCCAAAGCCACCCCTGAGACATCTGTCTGTAAAGTGAATGGCAGTGAAAAATTGGGAGTATGAAGCAATACATCCTTGCACAGGGCTTGCTTGAGGTCTTCCGATGAACGGCATCCCACTCGATCTGATGGGATCTCCTACCCTTAACAGCAATGACTAAGGGCATCATGACCTCAGCAAACTCTGGTATAAAACATCTACAATAACTTGTGAGACCTAAAAAGGCTCTCATCTGTTTCTTATTCTGAGGCTTCTGATACTCCCTAGCATACCTTATCTGCTAGGGGTCTCATGCTTCTGATACCCCCTAGCATACTTTATCTGCTAGGGGTCTTGTGCGTCCTTGCCCGACCAAGACCCCTAAATATTTAGTTTCGGTCTTACTTAATGCACGTTTCCTAGGGTTTGCTGTCAGTCCTACTTGTCTTAGCTCCTGTAAGATGGCCCTTAAGACCCTCAAATGTTGTTCCCAGGATTCTGTATAGATTACTATATCACCAATATAGGCAGACTCATAACCTTGGTGAGGAGCTAACACCCAGTCTACTAAACTTTGAAATGTTGCTGCGACCCCATTAAGCCCAAATGGCATCCTTTTAAACTCAAACAGCCACCATGGTGTTCCAAAGGCAGTCTTTGGTTGATCTTCTGTCCTTAAAGGTACCTGCCCGTATCCCTTTGACAGATCTAGAGTCGATTTAAATCTCGCCCGGCCTATACGTTCTATTAATTTGCTAATGTGCAGCATGGGAAACGTGTCGAATTGGGTCATCACATTTAATTTGCAAAAATCTATACACAACCGTAGTGTCCCATCAGGTTTAGGTACAGTGACTAGCGGACTGCACCATGCACTGCAGGACATTGTAATAATCCCTTGTGCTAATATCTTTTCCAACTCTTCCTTAGTAGTTTTTTTATCAATGATAGGGAACCTTCCTCCATTTTTCCTAAACTATCTGCCCCTCTCAGGCAATAACTTCTGGCTTTCCCTGAAAACATTGGAAAAATCCCTGATCAACTGCTTCAATTGCTTTTGTTGTTTTTTCTCTAATTGGCTCCCAATGGGAACCCTGTCCATGTATCCTAATTCACTACGGCTTTCCACCATCTCTCGCCCAAATTCCTCCAATTCTGGCTTAGGTGAAATTAGCAAACCCTCAGGTTCATGCCAAACTGAGTAAATTTATGTGATATGTGTTTTTCTTTCTTGGCTCCTAGACACAGCATTTTGCAATCTACAGGTCCTATTCTTCTTATCACTTCAAAAGGTCCTTTGCCAACCTGTTAAAAATTTGCTAGTCAAGCTAGGTAGCAAGACCAACAGTTTCTGGCCTGCCCATAGCTCCCTCTCCTTAGATTTTACATCATATCTTGCTTTTTGTTTGTTCTGCGCCTGCACCAAATTCTCGCAGGCCACATGTCCCATGTCAACCAATCTATTTGTTTGCGGATGGTATACGGTGGCTTTTAAATGCTGGATCTGGAGAACTTTACATGTTATTTAACAGTAGGGACATAAAATTGGATCCTTGGTCGGTGATGATTTCTCATGGAATACTGACCCTCGCCACCCATTTCATGAGCTCTTCTGCTACCCTAGACCCGGTGACCGCCCTCAAAAGGTACAGCATCTGGGAACCTGGTTGCATAATCTATGAATACTAAAATAAACCGGTGGCCCACAGTACTCTGCAGCAGTGGGCCCACCACATCTAAGGCAATCTGTGCAAACAGCTCCCTCACAATAGGCATGAGTTGCAAAGGTACTCTTGATGGCTTATGACTGCTCACCTTTTGACACATTTCATAGACCCGACCGAACCCTTCAATCTCTTCAAACATATGTGGCCAAAAACACCACTTAGCTGAGCAGCCTTCCATTTTAGTTTTGCCTAGATGTCCCTGCAACGGGTTCCTATGGACTAATTGAGGGAGCCACACCCTATAGGGTCACGGTAATATTAACTGAGCAACCTCCTTCCCTTCTGCTTTGCCCCTCTTAATCCTATACATTAACTCATTATGAATCTCACACCATGAAACTTGTTTACTACATTCTGGGTGGATTACGTGGTGGTCCTGCTTCACTGAGTCTGTCTCCCTCAACGCCCGTAGCTCCTCATCAGCCTCTTGAGCCTCTCAGAATTGACTGCTGTTGGCCAGCCCAGCTAAATCCAGTTCTTCTTCAATCCCTGTACTTACTCCCAGTAACCCATCCTCTACTCTCTTTGAAGGGCATAGGGATGCTACTACATCATAAATTTCTGGCCAGTCCCAACCTAATATCATGGGGAATAAAATATCTTCCTCTAGTCCCACAGATATCTTCCAGGTGACACCCTGTACTTGCAGTTCTAACAGCCGACGTTCGTAGTGGGCTCTGTCTATGAAGGCAAACCATCTTAACTCCTGCACATTTTGAGGCTTGTTTCCAAAGTATCAAGGATACGTGATGGATTAGGCACATCCCATATCAACAGCAGCTCGCACCCATCTGCCTGCCACCAATATGGTTACCTCAGGCAATGGCTGTATCGCCTCTGCAAAAATGTCTCCCTAGACTGCAATCTACAATTTCAACATCGTGTCCTTCTCTTGGAGCGACCTGACTTTGTGCTCCTCCTCAAATTTCCTCAGCCTTGTGGCTACCCATGGCCTGCAGGGACAATCCCGAGCCATGTGACCGGGTCTACCACACTTGAAACGCACAATTCCTATTGGGTTTCCTTTCTTGTTTCCTCGGCCTTCCCCTTCACCTTTATGATTCATCTCTCGGTTAGAACTCATTCCAGCCCCTCTCATACTTCTATCTCAGCTGATCTCACCCTGGGCCGTATCAAAATCTTCTGCCAACTGAAGGGCTTCCAGGGATGATTTAGCGCAATGGTCCCTGACCCATCTCTGGGTACTATACTCCAGGTCTGAGAGGGATTGCTCTAACAGTATTTGATCAGAGACCTCTTCTTTGGTCTCAGCTACTTGTCCAATAGATCAGACAAATGTTGCCATAAGACCCGGGGCACCTTCTCTTCCTTCTTTTTCTTGTCCCTGAACCCCTGTCGATGTCTTTCCAGAGTTATATTAAGCCTCTGCAATATACCATTTTTAACCTTGTCATAATCTTGTGCAACTATGCGAGTCATGGCACAGTAGACTGTCTGGGTCTGCACTACTAAAAGGACTCTCAACTGTCCGGCCCATCTCACCTTATCAAACCCAGAAGCAATAGCTGCTCTTTCAAATATTTCTAAGAATGCCTCTGGGTTGTCCTCTTTTGTCATCTTGGGCATTTTTAAGTCTAAAAAGTTCCTATGTGCCCAAGCCTGTTGCTGTATCAGATGCTCTTCTACAGTTGCTTGCCTTGCTGCTTGTTGTTGCTGTTGCTAGAGCAACTGTGCTATAAGATTCAATGTCTGATGAAGCGTCTCAGGCACTACCATCACTGGTTGGTGCTCCATTCTGTTAACTCTTAGGAGGCTGCTTGCTGAAGTTCCCGGCCAATGCACCAACTATGTCCGTTCCTAAAGAACACTGAAGTGTAATTGATGTCCATCTAGCCTCCATTAGAGTAATAAATTAGTCTCAGATGTTTATCACCATCTCCATAAGGCTTTTTTCCCCGCTTTTTTCCTCTACTAAGGCATTCATTGATCTTCAGCAGGCTGGCTGAAGATGGCCAGGGCCCTTCTTGATACAATGTTCTGCACACCCACACTCCTGCCTACCACTTCATACGAAACAAACAAAACAAAACAAAACAAAAAATGCCTGGGCGTGAACCTTCTTGCACAATTGGTCCTTATGTCCGCCTTAGTATAGTGAGGGCTCCATCAACCCCTATACCCTCTCCCATTCCACCTGGTGTTGACTTATAGCCCATATAATCTGCCAGAGTCCATCAGAGTCCTTGATATGCCTCTGACTCAAATAAGTCACAACATACTTAGTTCTCGTTAACCCCCACCAGGGCTTCACTTTTTTTTTTTTTAAACTGGCTTATGTTTAAACAGCCTCCTAACTTATGTGCATATAGTTATTCTTCACTATCGGTGATGGGATGGCTGCTTGCAATCACCTTTCAACCCCAGTGTCTCTTCTCTTCACTTACACAGGGGCTGGGCCGAGTGCCACTCTGATCCCTCTGCTTTGGTCCCTTGTGGAGCCCCGGGAGCAGCACCCTTCCCTCCACTCCTTCCCTAGTCCCAGACTCACTTCCTCCCTCCCTCACTGCCATGGGAACCTATCCCTATTTGTTACATGTTATGCACCATTCTCCGGTAATTCATGTACTGCATAAATCAAGGGAAACCTGTAGATTCTCTTGAACAGCTCAACACTGTAAAAATGAATAGAAAATTATGAAGTCCACTGTGGACGTACATAAAAGCAAGGTGAGGAGTTACAGTAAGATAACATAGCTCAAACTAGTTGCAGGCTTGCAAAAAAGTGCCTAACTGCATTTCACAAGACCACATTTAAATCACTGGCAACTACAACTACAGTTTCATAAACTGAATGGAAAGTGGTCCTACCAGAAGGCTGGTTCAACACACACACATAAGACATACAAAACCCCCCACAACCATCAACTAGAACCTCATAGTTGTTCATGATGGTTAATTTTTAAACCACAAGTTTATGCCATTTGACAGCAAACATACACATCTTTTCAAAGTTAAACAAACAGCCTCAACAGTGATTTTAGAAACTTCAGACTTACAGTAGAATCCATCTGATTATATCTTGCAATGTCTTTATGTAGTGTCCTCAACATGATCATAGCTACCATTCCAGATAAGAAAAGGACAATCACAAGGGAATTCATGATGCTACACAAAATGGAAAAAAAAAAAGCTTCAAAAAATCAATATCTATAGCTAAAAGCGCTCTCCACTTTATAGTATTTGAGGACTAAAAGTCTCCTCACCTAAACCACTGAATATGTGTATGTGGCATGGATTCCAAAATATAATCCCATCTGGACGCCCATCTTATGTCTTTTTCTTCCTGGAAATTAAAATTTCAGCAGTTAAATTTTTATAAGAAACAAATAAGTGACTCAATCATTTCATACCTCCATACAACATTTTGGAACTATTTAATCAAATAACTTATGTTCAAACCTTAAAACCAAAAAGCCCTATAAAATAATTCCCCACAGGCTTCAATGAAAGACCTTAATGACCATGCTCTAAAACCAAAAGTCAGAATTGTGATAAAAGCATCTAAAATGTAATATATGAGCTGTCTATCAACAACCAGTTTTAGTTTCTTTGTGCGACTAGATCACCACCACCACGTCCAACTTAAGCATCTTTTGGGAAGATCACACAGAACTGAATTACTTTACTTGGAATATAATAAAGTATATCAAGTAAACTCTACATCTTTCAAAGAGGAGTTAACCTGTTAAACCTTTGATTTGCAATCTTTAAGGCATACAGGAGGCTCGCATTTCACAACTATTGAAAGACCATACCATACAGCTGCACAACGTTCCAAGTATATGTTAATTTAACTGCTTTTCTTGATATCAATTAAAGAAATTAACTTGATATTTCGGAGTTATCTACTGAATTACCACAACCATTTTGCAGCATGAAAGTTTGGCTTACAAATTTTCCCATCTAAGTAATGACCTCATTCCCTACAGTAAGTAACGCAGGGTGCATCTACAC